ACATTCCACTCATACCCCCGATACACACTCTATACCCCCCAGGTCCAGGACATGCACCCACCCCCAATTGGAGGCAACACACACCCGAACCCCGGACGTAGACCCAATCATTCTGAGGTGGAGAGGAGCAGATAGCCAAGGCCCGGCCCGGGCCGCACCAGGACGCCTGGCCAGCCCCCCGCCGCAGAGAAGCCACACCCATGACTACCCCATCACACCGCCAGCGACCAAGTGCACCCCCTCAGCCGTCCACCCCCCGGAAACCGGCAGCCACCCCGGTCAAGGGACCACCCACAGGAACCAAGAACCACACCTCAGGAGACCAAGCAACACCAGGGAGGATGGAGAGCCAGCCCCACCCCCAGCAACCGTCCAAGCCCCGAGCCCACCCACAGCCCAGGACCGCACCCGGCGGTCCGCCCTTCTTCAGGACCCCCTCCCCAAATGGCAGTCGAGGAACGGGATGGGAATAAAGACACTGACACCCACACCCCCACCCCCAGATGTATTGTTGGTGCGTGTTGTTCTATAGAGTAATTAAAAAGGGAAAGAAGAAGAGGCAGAGGCCGGCGTGGTGCCAGTTTCCCCTCCACCACTACTCTGACCCAAAACCCTAAGTGTCTATATGCAAACCTTGGGGGGTGGGCACAGGCACAGGAGGCAAGAGTGGTGCCATCCGGCCATCTATAGCCATGAGTGCCCACCATAAGGTTCTACGTGTGAATTTCATGAAAATGTTATGAGTGAATGTCTAAGATGTACAATAAAATTTGGGGCCCAGGTGGTTATGGCAAATAGAAATGTAATATTGTTGCTCTTATAACACAACTGTGCCCCAAAAAAACCCTACATGGTTGAAGTTGAAAGTGAAGAGGATGGAGGTGCGCGCTGAGGGATGGGGAGAATAAATTGAAGGAGCACAGTGCTCCCACAGGGAGTCAGTTCCCCCGCTGGCCCCAGTAAGCCTTCCCTTTCCCCGAAACCCACCCAGGAAGAGCAGCCCAACTACCTCTCCCTCCAGGCAAACTGCCAAGCCCACGGAACCCTAAACCATGGACTGACGGAGCCCTGAAGGCCACCAGAAACCGGGACCAACACCCCACCCCCCAGAGCCACCCAGACCCACAAAACTCAACCCCAGCCCCATAGCCGGCCCGCCGCCCAGAGAGGCCACCGAAAAAAGAAAAAAGAAAGGCATTCCTACAAGAACTGATCTAAATTTTTCTCACCAAAAATTTGCTTTGCACTTAGATAAGATATGCAAACTCAAATACTGAGTAGTCTGGAGTAGTAGAGACATACCTGAGGCTGACAATAAAATACTTAGCACAGCACGCTCACTGCAGTCCTCCCTGTCTTCACCCAACACCATAGCAAAGTATGACTGCTGTTTTCATTATCCTCAAACACACAGCAAATACAGCTTTTTCTGTAAAACATATAGTCAAAGGTCACAGAAGAGGAGTGAAACGTCAAAATAAGACGCCTGTGCTTCTCATATCATGCAGCTCGCTGTGAGTGACATTGATGGCTGAGATTGAGCTGCAAGGACAGAGAGGCTTTTGTGTCAGGCTTGGCTTCACATCCTCTTTGACCTCTACTCTAATATATGGACTTTTATTGGATAAATGTAACTTGAAATAATTTCATTAGCTGTGTTTGGGTTCTAGATGAAACACAAACTTTTCAGTAACATTACCTTCAGCAGCTTTGTTTTTCTTGCAGCATACATCATTAACTCAGTTTCATTTAACAAGTTTTATGCTGATAACTGAATGGATCTTTTAGTGCTGATATGTGCTAAACAGACCACCATTGATCTGATCAGAGTTTCACACAGTATGCATGGCAAACATACTCTAGGTAATGTACAAACAGTAGTAAGACACTGAGGTAAAGGTGCTGCTCAATTCTACATTCAGTTTGTCACTTTTTATTACAGTAAATATTTGGATAAATGCTTACCACACCCGCTCTGAGACATGAAACTGTGGTCGATGAAAGGCTGCCTGAAGGCTGTGTTTTTAACTCTCATGTGGAAAGTGAACAGGCAGCTACAGTGCTGTTGCCCAGATGGATCTGTAAAGACCAGTCAAAGCACTGCCACATCCTGAAAACAGCTTAACATTTTCAACTTCTCACTCAGCAAGAATTTCTTTTGTAAAAAGAAAAAAAAAAGACAAGCCATCTCTCACTTAACAAATGATAGTAAAATACACTGACAATGACAAAGTTGGTGTAATGCATTTTATTAATCATTTGTCCAGAAATCATTTATGTTTAGAGCTTTGAGTAAAAACACCAGCACAGTTTGGGTGAAGATGGACGTTTGAGAATGTGGTCCTGATGTTGTTGCTGCTGCTGACACTCACCTTGCAGCTCCTGAGTGTCATTTCTACTCACCTGTTCTTGGTTCAGCTAATGAGGCTTATGTGAACTTAAAGTAGACATATGATGATTTTCAATCCTTTCTTTTCACATTTAAATCCTGTCGGTCTTTATAAAGTGGAACTACAGCATAATGCTTTGGTCTGAATTCCGTCTTATTCTAACTTCATCAGCCTCTCTTTCACCCGTTTTCTGAGGTGTGCCTCAAAGCAGCTGGTTTGGTTACTGTTCATTTAAGACAGTTCAAGCCAGACTTATTAGTTAACTTTGACCAGAACACCTGGTTTCAAATATGCTTAAGAACATTTAAAATGACTAGAAACCCCAATTTACAATTAATTCAATATAAAGTCCTTTATAGAGTACATTATACAGGTCAGCGAATGTTCAAGATGGGATTTGCATTATCGGACACCTGCTCTCAATGCACAGGCAGTATACCTGACAATTACAGTACATTCATGCACTCTGGTTCTGTCCACCTGTTCAGAGGTTCTGGGGCAGGGTTTGTGAAGACTTGTCTAAATGTTTGAAATGTTATTTCCCACTCTCTCCGTCTGTTTGTTTATTGGCTATTTTAGATGATGTCACCTYAGARAAAAGCAAATCTCGCATGATTTTCACTGCCTTTTGTATTGCAAAGAAAACAATACTCCTGAATTGGAAAAATAAAAATGCTATTAGTTTTAACCAGTATAGAAATCT